GACAACTAGGTGATCGCTCTTCATCCATTGTAAAAGTTCATTAATGATAGATGCTTACAGAAGTTTTTTAGTCCATGGAAGATTCGTGTTGAGGAGAGAAGGACACTGAAGTTGCAGGGCCAATGATCCTGGATAGTGTAGTGATCTACACTATCCAATGATCTGGATAGTGTAGATGGGATACTACACTATCCAATGATCTGGATAGTGTAGTGCAAGAAGTTGTCCAAGGACACCTTCTTGCACTACACTATCCAGATTTCCATGCTAGGAGGTGTACTTTGGGCAGGTGAATAAAACGTGGAATGGATTCTCTTCTTCTATGATGTGACAGTTGCACTTACCATTTCCTTTCTTGAGGAAACGATTTAGGTATGCCCAGAAGTTCCTGTGTGCTGTGATAAGCTGGGTGATGGCATGGTTTGAGTGGAAGAAGGATAAGTTAAGACAAGTGCTGATACTTGGAAAAAATTTGTACATATATCGGCTGGTGGTGCCAGTATCCCATATTTTTTGCCAGATAGTAGTGGAAGGGATGACCTTATAAGCATAGGAATCAGCTATCTTGTGAGCGTTCTTAGCCAGTCTGTTGGCCCTTTCATTACCTGGATTTCCAGAGTGACCCTGAATGCAGTAGAAATTGATGTAGGCTGAGTTATTGATTTCATTAAGGAGGTTGAGACTATTGTCAATAATTGGCAGTTTTTGGTTCCGATTCTTTATCTGGTGGAGTGCCACATGACTGTCATTTTCCTTTAATTAGAGACGATACAGTTTTAAAATAAACAGATCAAGTCTCATTTGCCAATAGGTTATCTCAATTTTCATCGATTGTTGTCAGTTCTTTTGTAATCTGAGAGGAATAGATTGTGTTCCAAAGTCCAGTGTTAAATGTTTATTGCTTTTGCAGTAATCTCAGTAGAGCAGGAGAAGTCAATTTATTACTATAATAAATGCCTTTGCTAACAGATAGGACATGTTTTACTTATGTTTTACTAATGTGGGTACATGTCATCCTTTTTCTGTGTGGTGTATGTAACCCATGAAAAAGAAAGTTTTTTCAAAAACTCAGTCCAACAGTTGTTGCTTCTATGTTCGTGTTACATATTTAGCTTGTAGATTGCACAGGCATTTACTGCTGTGCAATCTACAAGCAGTAAATGCCTGTGCAATTTACAAGGCTGCCCAAACCTGCCTAAATCGCATAGACCATTGGTCCAAGACTAATGGTTTCAGTTTTTACATGGAGAAGACCTCGTGTATCCACTTTTGTCGAAGGCGTGGTTTACACTTGGATCCTGAAATTTACCTAAATGGGGATAAAATTTCAATGGTGAATGAGGCTAAGTTTTTGGGTGTTTCTTTTGAGAATTGGGCATACTCGATTGACTCATCAATACCTTTTGAAGGGTGAAGACCAGCCAGTATATGAGTATTGCAACTGCTTTCTTAGTGTAAAACACATGCTTTGCAATTGCACAGCTTTTGATAAAAGTCGTAGACAGCATTTTGGAAATGCAAGTTTGAGAGAGATTTTGGGCCAGAGGCCAAATCTTGACAAATTATTGAACTTTTTGAAAGTAAATAATATTTATAAACATATTTAATTATTTACTTACTTATTTATTTATTTATGTATATATTTTGTTATTATTTATATGTGTATTGTTATATATTGTTTTGTTATTGATTTTGTTATTTATTAGTTTATTTATTTATATTAAACATCTTACATTATATATATATATTTATTTATTTAGTTATTTATACCATTTGCTATGGCGCAGCTTGGCCTGTGAGGCCCTTTCGCCAATAAACTCTAACGAACAATTCATTACTATAATAAATGCTTTTGCTAACAGATAGGCATATTAATTTAGCTGCTTTTAGAGCTGCATGATTGATCTAGTTGGTGTCAACTTCATTGCTTGGAGCTCAGCCCTAGTCCGTAAACTTGACACGTGTCGGGTTGTGATTGGAAGGATTCGTAAGAAATCGGATTCTTAAAGAATGGAACGTATCTATATGTTATAGGGGGGTCGACTGTATTATAATTACAAACTATTTTTAATAATTTTACATTTTATGTCTATAAAATTATTAAANAAACTTTACCTAACCCAGGCACCAGAAAGAATAAAAACAGTTCCTCACAAAAACAGCAAAACGTCTTAACAGAACACACTCCTGAACTGGAATAACACACACAGTCGTGTCGATAATCATTGGAAAAGTCGGAAAAATAATATAGTACTTTACAACAGGGTACCAGAGTTTAGCTGCTGTGGTTAAAATGAAAAACCTACAGGTAGGTGTTTCATTTTGAATTTTAGTAAAATTATTGAATAGGTGGTGAAACATCTATTCAGCCTTGCTCAGGTTTATTTCCACATGATGTTTAATCTCTGTTTTAAGGTCTCTGCTCACGTCCAGAGTAGAACGGGCCGCTCGATGACCTGGTTGAAGAGTTTGCGACACAGTACGCTACATCTTGACATATGTCTATATTTACTACTTAATTTACTATTAATTATAATGTAAAAGCTAGTAGCACACAAAGAAAACTCACCAGAACAATATAGTATGTTTGTAAGGAATGAGGTCCGAAAATGGAAAGGGAGAGAGAATGGTTAAACAAAGAAAGTTGGCAACAACAGGGCAATTAAAGGGTCCTCAATACATTTAAACTTCTGAGAAAAGTGGGTTTTGAAGGTATTTAGCTATTTAGCCTTCAAGTGAATTTTAAGTGTTTTTAAAAGTATTCTTAAATTTTGAGTTTTTATGGAATCCATCAGGAATTTTGTAAAAAACCAAGGTTGGCTCTCCAAAAAATCAAGATTTTGTAAAAAAACCAAGCTGGTCTAGAATATGAATGTATTTGCTTTTAGTGCAAAGACTGCATATATATATTTTTTTTATAAGAATAAAAGTGGTTTTCAAAAAAAATATATATTTTTGGACAGACTGTGTCTTCTTGGATTAANAACTCGTGACAAGTCGTGCGTACACATAGCGTAGAACATTACGTTAACATGCGATTAGAAACCCAAGATGAGCCTGTCTTCTAATTTCAAAGCCATAAATATTGTTGCAAGTCTGACATGAGCTGGGATTTATTTGTAGATGTTTATTTATAGTATTAATTTTCATCTTGAATATTTTCATTGTGTTGATGAGAGAATGTAAGCAATGAATGATGAAAGTGCTTTTGAGAGAGAGAGAAAAAATGAAACAAAACTTTTGACACATTTCTTATGTAATCATACCTCTACCTGCAAATTTAATTTATGAAGTTTTTCATACTTTGATATATATACGTGTATAACGATATATTCAACAAAATTTATTAAAATCATACTATCATCTAAGTGCAATTTTAAAGAAAGAATGGAGTGAATGTGAGATCTGGATTTTAGAAACATCTTATTTTCTTCGTCCTCTAATTTTTGAAGTATTTCAGTTCATATTTTTTTTCTGACTCATTAAAACAACATTAGCAGGGAAAGAAGATTGAATATCCCATCAACAACTATTGGAATTTATAAACTTCCTTTAAGATTGTAAGCAGTCACCCAACCAAACATCATCAAGCTAATATTGCAAGGTATAAGTTTACAGTTATTGTTTGATTTCTTCACTTTATTATGGTCCCAGTGACACCTATGACCTAAACACCTGCTAAAGTAACCTTTGCTTTAGACAACATTTAATCACCTGACTTACTTTCCCAAGCCAAACACTACAGCCCACACCAAAGTGTTAACAACCTACCTGCAATTTCTCCAACATCCTGAATGGCTTACATCCATATATCCACTCAACCTGACAAAAAGAATCCCGACCCCTTAGGATCATAAAATGTAAACCAGTCAGCCACTGACAAGTGGGCAGTTTTCCACCAAACTGTTCTCAAGAAAGGGGCAAGACATCTGCCTTGCCTCTGGCTACCCACACAACGCGCCTTATGTATCTGTTACAGTAAATCCAAATTTATTTTTCTTTGTTCGTTTCTACATTTTCTGCAGAAACAATTGAATCAAACTTAATTTTTTTCAAATTGACATCTGCTGGTAATTGAGTTATTCAAGAACTTCTCCTGTTCAAAGCCTGTATGTGGATGAGTATGAACTACCTCTATCTCTCAGGAGAGAATAGTTGTCTTTTTTTATGTTAAGCAGAAATCTCAGATCAAACTTTTCATTTATTCTACAGTAACATGTACACAGCTGAAAAGGTTATTTGATGCTCGCCCAAGTAGTGTCCCTACATTCCACATAAGAATGGAGAACGTAAGCAGTACGATTGACCTAGACACAAGCAACATTTCACAGGTCTAAGGTTGATAGCATATCACCTTGGTCAACTGCTGTGATAAATGTAGACCTTAGCTTTTAGCAGTTTTGTAAGGAATTCACTCCAGGTTACATCTGCAGACAGCACTTTGCAGAAATTCATCACCATGCCTCATAAGGAACACCTTCCCTGCCCTGTCTACTGGCGCTACAGGGTTAAAGAGAATATGCCTTATTCATTGGCCCCTCAATGTGGGTTCCTGTCTGTGGTGAGGGGACCTCCCAGAGATGGTTTAGTAACTCTTCTTTACCATCCCTGGGATCTGAACACCCACCCACGTGTTTGCCGTGCGTGGTACCTCGTAGGCCGGAAACGGGGATCCTGGTAGTTTAGAGAAAACATAACGTCCCCAACACACTGCTTTGGCCCCTGCTTCAGATAAACGGGAGGCTCAAATCAGGGTCTGTTTGAGTCAATCGGCTGGTCGTTGAGTCATTCTTGACCTCGGCTTGGCGTCAACCGATCGATGCAGACCGGGCGGACACGTCAGTCAAGATGTGCTCTTCTTGACTGCATTGTGAGGAAACCCTGGGTGCTCCTGGGAAACTCTGGTGTGACGGTCTATGGGAATCTCCCATGTGACGGCATCCCCTTGTTGGGCCCCATGGTGGGTGGGGTCACCAGGAGCTAAACTGTTATTATTAAATATGGATTCACTAAAACATAAAACATGTACTGATGCATTACCACCAAGAGATGCCATTTTTTCCAATCAACCAGCATATCTTATTGTTCATGCTATGGGAGAAACACCTCTATCTAAACGTTCTCCTTTTTTGATTCAAAAATTGTTCGAATCGACCATTGGGAATTTTAAAAAAATTCAAAAACTGAGGTCAGGAGATCTACTTGTAGAAGCAGCCTTCCCTCAACAGTCAGAAAAGCTTCTCAAAATGAAGTCTCTAGGAGAATTAATGGTAACCATCACACCACACACAAATTTGAACTCGTCATGTGGTGTGATATCTGAAACCGATCTGATGTCTGAAAATGAATCAGATATTCAGATTGGTCTCTCAGACCAAGGTGTCACTGATGTTCGACGAATTTCGATCCGTTGTGATGGCAAGCTGATACCAACAAAACACCTTATATTGACGTTCAACAAACCAACATTGCCATCTTCTGTTGCGGCAGGATATCTTTGTTGCCCAGTTCGCCCATACATTCCAAATCCGCTATGTTGCTTTAAATGTCAGCAGTTTGGACACTCCTAAATATCATGCAGAGGAAAAAAAGCATGCGCACAGTGCGGAATGAAGACCACGAGAGTACTGAATGCACAAGTTCTCCACGCTGTGTAAACTGCAAAGATTCCCACCCTGCCTATTCTCGAAAATGCACTGCATGGCAGAGAGAGAGAAATTCAGCGATTGAATATTGTTAATAATATATCTTGCCTGGAGGCACGTCACATGGTCACTTTAAGTGCACCAGTGAAACAGAAGACATTTGCTGCTATTCTGAAATCCACAGACATGTGGAGTTCAGACAGACATTTCTGTTTCACCAAATGAATCGCTGATTCGCCATGAAAAATGTCTGCTGATACCATCTACCAAAGCAACAGAAAAAGAGAATAACAAAGCAAAACTACTTATACCTAAAACAGGGGTAACAACTAGGAATGTGGGTTCCAAAAAAGCCAGTAAGAACCCACTTAATAAACAAAGGATAAAAGCAGTCCTCTCTAAATCAAAAAAATTGTAGACTCAGTCTATGAGTGAGTTCTCTGACTTCTCTGATGAAGAGAATAATAAGGGGGTGACACCGCCAACATCACCTCCAAAAGAAAAACCCCCTGTAAAGTTAGAGGGATAACCTAGCTAAAAATGCTGCCTCAAACACCTAATGGATTATAAAATAATCCAATGGAACTGTTGTGGTTTCCGCAACAACTTCTCTGACATTAAACACTTTACATCATGTACGCAGTCTCTCTGTGTGGCACTCCAGGAAACCCATCTGAAACCTGGAGAAAGGATTACTTTAAAAGGATTTAATCTCTACCGCAAGGATGATGATAGCCACAACCGTGCCAGTGGAGGTATGGCTATCCTGGTTTCAAATCGCATTCCATCTTTACCAGTACAAATAACCACAGAGCTGCAAGCTGTGGCAGTCAGAACTTCTATTGGAATAAATGTCAGAGTTTGTTCTATATACTTGCCACCAGATGTCAGAGTGAATAAGAATGAATTGGATACTTTGGTTGAGCAGCTGCCAACTTTGTTCCTGTTACTGGGTGACTTCAATGGTCACAATCTAATGTGGGGCAGTCCCGACATTAATCGTCGAGGCAGAGCCATCGAGAGATTTATAGGTAATCATCAACTGTATCTATTTAATACTGGAGAAGTTACATACTTCCATGCCCTATCAAGAACGTTCACTACCATTGATCTATCATTAGCAACTCTGAATCTGTTTTCAGCACTTACATGGGAGGTGGATCTAATCCACTTTCTAGTGACCACTTCCCAATATTTCTAAAATACCGAGGCAGAGAAAGCTGTGAAACAGCCCGTCCACCACGCTGGAAACTGGAAACGGCAGATTGGCCTACATTCTCCTCCATGGCTAAAATCACTGAGGAAATGGTCAATACTGCTGATATTAATGATGCAGTTGAAGTTGTCACTTCTAGTATTATACAGGCAGCTGAAAAAACAATGGGGAAAATATCAACCAGATATCCAAAGTGTTTGAAACCATGGTGGGATCAAAATTGCGAAACAGCGTTTAAAGCACAAAAGAAAGCATGGGGGATTTTCAGAAGATACCCCAGTGCTAGTAATTTCACTGCTTTTAAAAAAGCAAGGCAAATGCCAGAAGAGTTAGAAAGCAAAGCCAAAGGGATTCTTGGAGGAAGTATGTTTCTAGCATAACATCTTCCACCAACTCAAAAGCAGTCTGGGATAAAATCCACAAAATTAATGGGAAATATGCTTTTCATTCTCTGTCCATGCTGGAAAATAATGGCACAATAATCAGTGATATACAGTGTATTGCTGATACATTGGGTGAAACTTTTTACTTGTTATCCAGCAACATAATGTATTCAAGGGATTTCCAAGCTTATAAAGTTCGAAGTGAAAAACAATACTTAAACTTTCACTCCTCATCTAATGAGGAATATAATGTGCTATTTACCAGCATAGAACTACATACAGCGATCTCCCGCTTGGTGAATAGTGATGTTGGCCCAGAAAAAGTCCATTACAGCATGATTAAAAATCTGTCAAACAATTTCCTTTCTAATCTGCTGTGTCTGTTTAACAGAATATGGACAAAACATACTTTTCTTGACTCTTGGAGGCTGTCCATCATTGTTTTCATTTTCAAGCTAGGTAAAGACTGCAAGAATCCCTCTAATTATAGACCAATCTCTCTGACGAGTTGTCTCTATAAACTCTTTGAGAGAATAGTGAACAGACGTCTAATGTATCTCTTAGAGAAAAAGGAATACTTTTCACCACATCAGAGTGGTTTTTGTAGGAACACAAGTACCACTGATAACTTAGTAAACCTTGAAACATCTATACACAAAGCGTTTGTTAGAAGACAGCATTTAGTGTCTGTGTTTTTTGACATAGAGAAGGCCTATGATCGCTGTNGCGACCGCTTTACAAGTTAAAAAATTCTGGCGACCTCCCACAGCATATTAAAACTATGTCAGTGATTTTAAAAACTACGTATTAAATTTTCTTTCTGTTGAGATTTAAATATCGATAAAAAAACTAATTGTACTGTAAAATAAACAGGCACAGCTTTCTCACTGAAATTGTAGTTTTTTTTATTGTAGTGTAGGACCTACAAACACTTGTCTTTTTCTTTTACCCGCGACCCCCCGTGTATGGCTTTGCGACCCACCTGGGGGTCGCGACCCACAGGTTGAAAAACACTGTCCTAGGTGAACTAAAGTCAAACGTGAGTCCACTTCATGTGTCCAAAGTAAACTGAACTTCCCACCACAACTTCGTCCTCTTATACGGATTGAAGCAGAATTGGATTCGACCAATCAGCGCTACGTAGCTCTACAAGACGTCCGCCGATGGTCCGATGTCGCTCAACCAATAAGCGGTCAAGTCTCCAAAAGTGGTCTGATTGCCGTTTCTATGGCGACAACCGTCGTTCGTCGTAAGATTGGAAAAGCGCGGGAAAACCGTCTGACAGACGATTTTTATCCCGACACAAGGGGACCGAAAAAAGGTATAAGAAAAAAATTTATCGAACAAAAAACATCCAATAGAATTTTAAACATTTTTACCGAAGTTAAATCGGACAAATATAAGTTTGGAATGATTTAATTAATTTGATAAAAAACTCCCATAAAACAACAATAGCCCAATTAATTACCTAATTAATAAATCGTCATAAAATATTTTCGCGCCAAAAATAATTCATGAAATTTGCAGAGAACGTAGATAACGATGTATATATGCTGATCCATACATTTTTGAAAAGGTTATAAGTCAAGGCTTTTTTTTATGAGGCCCTTAAGGCCTATGCTTGAGATAACTCGGGTTATAGGCTTAAGGGTTATAATTAATTAAATTAAAAAGACGACACACAAGTAACTCTCGTATGTTGTCAGGCACGCTGTACCCGTTATGGCAAGTCATTTTGGTCGACTCATAGGCCATGTATATTTATTGGCACAAGCGAATACAAACTAAAAACGAGCCCTAAAAAAAGATCCCACACCTAACGAAGAATTAATTAAATAAAAATTATAATTGTGTACTGACCTTGAAAGTAATGGATGCGAATTTTTAAAGTGCAGAACGATACAAGAATCTTTTAATTCTTATAACGAACGTAACGTCTAAATTTGCAAAATATCAAGTAATGCACGCATGCAGTGACACGCATTGCATGGTGGGGGAACGATCCAGGTCTCGTTATTCCTAATACCAGTAATCCAGAAAAACACGAAAAGCCCCAATGTTATCTAGCAATAATTAAATTATAATAATAATTTTACTAGACTACAGGTTCACTCGGCACTAACAGCACAAATCAAGTGGATAAACAAGTTGTTTGGACTGTTAAAAGGGAAATCGGTGTTCATACTGGGATATTTTAAAGCAAGTTTTTGTCGTTTCTTGTTAATAATTTACAGCAAATTGATTAACATACGCCATTTTATAATGAAAGTTAGATGTACCCCTTTGATGTACGATTGTACCCCTAGGGGTACATGTACCCCCTGTTGAGAACCACTGCTTTAAGATTAGTAGGCACGACAATTTGTTTCCACCAATCAGCTTGGCGTTTATTGGTGCCTTTATGGCAAAGTGCTCCTTCGTCATTTAGATAAAAATCTTCTAAGGAAAAGTTATTATAAGATCCTACCGTTTCTCCTTCTTTCAAAGCTTGTATAAGGGGACTCCATCGTTCATTACTTTGTTGTAGGTTGGCGATTTGAGTAACAGAGAAAATAGGTTCAACATCTTTTATTTGTCGAATGGGAATCCGACTGAAGGCATCGGGATTTTTGTGAGAGTTTCCAGCCTTATGTATGACATCAAAGTCGAATTCCTGAAGGAAAATAATCCAGCGAGATAACCTTGAATTCATTGAAGAATCTTTACAATCTAGTAGCCATCGAAGTGGTCGGTAATGATTGTAAATTTTCGTCCATATAGGTAAGGTTTAAAATATCTGCCTGCCCACAATGTGGCCAAGCACTCCTTCTTAGTGGTGCTGTAATTAAGTTCAGTTTTCCTGAGTAATCGACTTGCGTAAGCTATCGGTTTCTTCTTGCCGTTCTCTTCCTGTGACAATACAGCTCCAAGGGCTGAATTTGAGGCATCAGTAGCAAGGATAAATGGTTTGAAAAGTCAGGAGATTTTAATAAGGGTGCTGACGTCAGAATTTTCTTAAGTTTATCAAAACTTTTTTGTTGATTTGGTCCCCATTCAAACGGTACCCCTTTCCGGAGCAGGTCTGTTAAAGGTTTAGCGAGTTGAGCATAAGCATCAACATGTCTTCGATAATATCCGGTTAGATCTAAAAAGNGACTGACTCATCAATACCTTTTGAAGGGAGAGGACGAACCAGTATGTCAGCACTGCAACTGTGCTGTAAGTGTTAAACACATATTTTGCAACTGTGATGCTTTTGATCAGAGTCGTAGACAGCATTTCGGAAATGCAAGCTTTAGAGACATTTTGGGCCAGAGGCCAAATCTGGATAATATACTGGACTTTCT